TTGTTGTTGCTGTTGTTGCTTCTGCTGTTGTTGTAGCTGCGTATTGTTTATTTTAAATTTTAAAAAAAAGTTACCTTAAAAGGTAAAAAGTAAACAGTTAATTTTGTCTGCCAAGTTTGGAGAAAGTCTATTGAAAACAAATTTTGCAATTTTTATGCTCCGTTTTTCAGCTTGATTTTTTAGCGAATTGAACAGGCGGACAACTGATTGTAAAAAACCATTGTTAGAAATTTGGCCCATAACGTCAAACGCGACTCAAAAATAAAATGACGAGTACCGCGTTAAAAGCCTAAATGTGCTAAATTCAGAGACATATGAGTGGTTTTGAGCGAGTTAAAAAATTTACTTGCAATTATCTTGGAATCACCTTAATATCGATAGGATATTGTAAACCTTTAAACAATTATTGGTGAAAACGTTGGATGCGATGAGAAACTTCATATTAAAAACAATACTTTTATAACGAATTTCAGTTTACTTTACTGAAAACGTTTCAGCTATATATTCGTTTGATCTACTGAGATGTAAAGCTGGCGTCGAAAGTTTGGAAACCTCACTAGAACAAGTTCGACGATAGCTGAAAGTGCAATTGGGAAAGCAGAAAATCCTATTAAATGACTTTTTTCTTCAATGAGAATTCACGTTTATTTTTGGAAATTGCATGCGAATAACTTTGACCAGTGCAGAGAAGCACTCTCCTACCGTCTTCTGCGTGATTATATAACTGAACTTAGCACGTTTTTTCGTTTTTAACCTCAACACGATAAAAGTCATTCATTAATTGGTAAGACCAACAAAGTCAAACAAAAAAATATGTATATAAATAACAATAATAAACTACTTGACAGATACTTATTCATTTCTGTTTTATTATATTATTATTAGAAAAAATAGGAGCCGTTTTGCCTGAGCACTTTGGTCCCCGCTTCAGGTACTTAGATTTTTTGTGTGTGTGAAAACAATGGGACATAGAGGCATGGCCATCTGTTTCCTCGACCCCCACAAATACGAAACATGTCTGTTTTATTGAAGAGAACTAAAAGAACGTCCACAAAATGTCAATAATAAGAAGTAGGTCAAAAACGTTAAGCTCCCGGGAAATATGAAATAAATTATGGAATGAGAAGTATCGTAAAGGTCACTTGTTGGTACCGTGAAGTGAGGAAAATCGTCAAATGAAGGGAGACACAGAACAAGAATTTGATCAGGTGATTGGAGACGAAATTAAGACAACCATTGGTTCAAGTTCACAGTTCTTGATGCCCTACATATAGGTTTGGGAAAATACTGAGCTATAGCTAGATAAAAACAAAAAATTCTTTGAGAAATGTTTAATTCTTTTGTCAAACAATAAAGTGGTTGTAAGCCGCTCCAGCGATTTTGTATTAGGATTCCGAGGTCGAAGAAAAACCTGGGTCGTCTTGGAATTGAAGTGCATTGTGCAGGCTGGGACTTTTTTAGAGGACATATTTCCAAGATGGCGTCTATTTCGCTTTTAAAACAGTCCCACAATGCACTACGATGCCAACTCGAACCAGTCCTTTTCTTCAACCACGGCATGACGGGTAATAAGTGTTTTTAATTTTAAAAGATACAAACAGAGTTATCTCTAGAGGGAGGTCTATTTAGTGCTAAAAGCTACCCGTGCTGTTCAAAGTTGAGAGGTTTTAACGGCGTCTCAAAGAGGATTCCAACAATGGGAGATCTTAGTAGTAGGATAAAAGCAAGGGTCGTTTAGTTTGTGACACTTGAAAATAAGAACCGTCCTCAAAGCTGGGTAACCGAAAAAAAAATCAGCTTTAAAATTTGCCTACAAATTCAAACACCGAGTAAAAATGGCAGGAAATATTTCAATAAATATTTCCACACTCAAAAAATGTTGTATTCATGTTGGACCAATACTTTGGGGCTCTTCGTCCTTTAACGAAGCAGCCAAAGTATCAACAATCCTGGCCATAACGCTGAACGTCTTGACGATGCCTATGACTTTGTTTCTCAACGCTCTGATTATTTTCGTTGTTTGGAAGAATCCATCTCTTCAGGTTGAGCGTGTGATAGTCCTGGCTTATTTAGCCTTGACTGACTTTCTTGTTGGACTGATTTGCCAACCGTTTCTCATCGCCAGAGAAATACTTCAGTTAAAAAGCATTGAAGGGAACTGTGGTTTAGAAACTGTGTTTTTTCTAGCAATCGGTCTTTTAAAAGGAGCAGAGTTTTACCAAATTGCAGTTATTTCATACGAGAGATACGTGGCCATCATCCATCCATACCTGTACCCAACACGAATCACAGTCAAGAGACTCATTTTTGCAACCATCGGACTTTGGACTCTTAACACTGTTGTAGTTTTGCTATCCTTCTTAACGTTAGCTTTGGGTGTTTCCTTATATCTTGGTGCCCTAAGTACCATCCTTAAGATTTTTATTTCTATCTGCATGGTTTACTGGTATGCTAAAATCTTTACTGTATTAAGAAGGCAAAAACGACTGATAGGTCAACAGAATCCAAATGTCAACATGAATAATCCCCACTTCCAGCGAAGACACAAAGGAGCAATGACAGCTGTTCTTCTTCCTGTCTGCTTATTATTTTCTCTTATTCCGGTATTTGTTGTAATGATTTCAAGACGGGTATTCGGGCATACTTTCCAGCAAAGCCTTGCATGGCTAATCGTGCAGCAATGGGCAGAAACTGTTGCAATTCTCACGGCGCTCCTAAATACGATAATCTACGGCCTTGCTACAAGAGGAGTGAGAGAGAAATCTTGGGAGGCTTTGTGCTTTCGGCGCGACAGTGATGAAGTTATCTCTCAAAATGCTTTTGTACTGAACCCCCTACACATTCTTCGACATATGAACTCATGAAGCATTGGTCATGCAGTTTTGTGGACGGACAAAAGAAATTGACATGATACTATAAACATCCCTATTTCATGTAGCTACAAAATAGAAAAAAAGAGTAGTCTTTAAAAGTTCTACTCTGAGTCGTTGCCCTCTTTAGATCGCCTTAGACCAGGGCCCAGTTTTTCACTAAGATCACCTTAGATCTCCTTATGTCACCTTATATCGCATAAGTTAAATGCCCCATTTTTGGGAAAGTTTCTTAGTCCCCTATGACTCCCTTCATTGCCATGGTAAGGAACCAGACAAAAAAAAAAAGAGAAAATATTGGAAGATCTCCTACTACTTTAAGTATATATTTGAGAGCGACGCCATTCTTGGGTGCAACTTATTTAGCAGGAACTGATACTCCAGTGTGTGTCTCTTTGTTGCTACTTTTTATAACTACTAGCTTAGAAAATTTTTGTACTAATTAATATTGATAACTGCAATCTGTAAATATACGACCATTGTCATTATGCTACTCAAATAGACAAGCTTTTCAGTTACTATGAGTAACATTTACTTATTATTATTTGTATAATTCAATGAAATACTTTGTAAATACTTGTCAAAACTTTATAACTAAAGTAATAAATTGTTGTTGTTGTTGTCGTTGTTGTCGTCGTCGTTGTTGTAGCTTCGAGTTCTCTGTTGCTCAGGGCTAGCCTCGACTTTGTGCAGAATTTATAAATCGTCTATTTTGCCGCATCTGACCTATTGGCATCCAGTCTGGCATTTTAGCAGAACATCGGACAGTAGAAAAATTGAGCGTACCCAAGAGCGAGCGCTAAGAGCAGTATTAAAATCTTTCTCAGAGCCATATGAATAACTTCCTAAATCGTCGTTTACAGGACATAGCAGTGTTTAACGAATAAAATAGTTTTTTCCGTGCTCCATTCAGTAATAAACCACGCAGGAAGTGACGTCAGCACGAAAGAAGTGTAAGGAGAAACACGAGCCGTAAGGGAGTGCTTCTCACACTTCTTGAGAACACAGCGGTAATTTGGAACTCGAAAAAGGTCTAAATTCAGGTATGTCCTTCATGTACATTTTTTGGCATCATTTGGTAGATGTGCCTTTTTCCATTTTACAATAACTTACAAATTTCTCGCGCGCTGATTGGTTATCTTTTATCATCAATAAGAGGACAGACAGATAAAATTGACGGCAACGAGCGCGCACTCTTGCTGTTAGTTGTTTTGATCAGTAAAAATATATGAGAAGTTTTTATCGTTTTTGTTATTGTAAAAAACAAATTGACATCAGATTTTTATGTTTCTGTCCTCTTATTGACGATAAATTTCGCAATCACATTGTCAAAGTAGTATGCGGATCCACTGGCTACGCTTCGTGATGACGCAATTTATCGTCAATAAGGGGACAGACACATAAAAATCTGATGTCAAGTTGTTAAATTTACAAGAGATATCTGGCCTTATCCATACAAATACCCAACACGAGTGAGAGTCGAGAGATTCATTCATGCAGCCATCGGACTTTGGGTTTAAATACCGGAGTATTCCTTTGGTTCCCAATAACGTTTACTTAATAAGTGTTATTGGTTAATGAAGGACGCAAGTATCATCAGTTAAATTCCCACAAGGGTTTAGTATACTTGTATGCTAAAACATATTCATGTCACATAGAATGCATAGGTCAACAGCAGCAAGATGTCAACAAGAGCCGCAAAGGAGCCATACGCACAGGTGTTCTTATTTTAGACCTTTCTCTTAGCCCTGTTTTGCTTTCCAGAACTTTCGACTAGTTTAACTGATAAAACAGATATTCATTTTAAGATCATATCAGTTGTGAGGTCCATCTATGGCGCTACGGCGGGATTGGTTGTATTTTCATGACCACTGCTATTGTCATGGCAGGCATGCAGGTAGGCACGAAAGGGAGGAAGAAAGGAATGAATTTCCTAACGAAAAATAAAATCCATTTTTCACGTTAAAAGGTCACTCATACCCTACTGAGGTTAAAACTGTTAACTGCTGGACCCTGGGGCGCCTGTAAATTGATTTCCGGTATCAGCCGATACCAAGCCATCACAGATTCCAAAGTTAAAATTGATAGTTTAGTTGTCAGTAAAAATAGCTTACAAAAAATTGGCTTGTTAACCCCATTCAGATCGTAGTTGGGTGAAGGCTTTTGAGGCCCGCTCCAGCTTTCACTACTTATAACTTTTGAACAGCTCAAACCAAAACCACCAAACTTGGCGACTTTTCCTAAAATTAATCTGGGAACATTTTTGATATAATAAGTCTTGTCCAGGAACTTTGATGTTCCCATGGTAACCAATTTCTGACAGATAAGTATTTGAAATTTTCTATGGAAACACATGGAAACCTGACATGTAACTAAGACATGCGGTTCAGCGTTCTTCTATCTTCACAACATACGACGTATTAGAAAATATCTACAGCAAGATACCGCAGAAACACTTATTCACGCGTTTGTTACTAGCCGAATCGACTACTGTAAAAGTCTCTTATATGGCCTACCTGCGTATCAACTTGCCAAGATGGAACGGAGTGCAGAATGCAGCCGTTCGTGTTATTTACAAAATTTCCAAACATTGTCACATAACTCCTCTGCTAAAAGAACTGCATTGGTTGCCTATTACATATATAATTCAATTTAAAGTAATCCTTATAACTTTCAAAGCATTACATGGAATGACACCTTCTTTTATATCTAATTTGATAAAAGTCAAGTCTACCACAAAATACTGCCTTCGACCAAACAATGCTTTATCATTAACTATACCACTAAAGAAAAGTGCAGTCACACTTGGTGATAGATCATTTATCATAGCCGCACCCAAGTTATGGGACGCCTTACCTTGTGACATTAGGAACATGAACTCATGAAGACAAATTTAGAAAGCGTTTAAAGTCACATCTTTATCGCATAGCTTTTGAATTATAGTATTATTTTATTAGAATGCAATCGTTTATCTATTTTATAAACTAGTCTAAATAACATAATTTATATATTCCTATTGAACACTAATATAATATATAGCGTTTTACATATTTATGTTTGAACATTACATTTCATTTTATATCATATATATTATAACATTTTGATTGAATATTTAATCTTATATTTTATGATTATGTATATATTTAAATCTGCCTTATTTTTAGTATTTTTAATTATGCCATTCTTTTGTTATGGCGCATTTGATCATTTCGACATGGCAAACACGCCCCATAAGTATTAAATTATTATCATTATTATTATTTTTATTTTTATTATTATTATTATTATTATTATTATTATTATTATTATTATTATTATTATTATTATTAGAAGCCCTACACTCAATAAAATAATTTTCATATAAACAGTTCTTTTTCTCGGTGTGAGAAATTCGTGTTTACAGCGCCGACTAGTAATTAATTTTAGACCAATTAGAACGCATGTAAGAATGAATTGACAAAGCAGCCAATCAAACCTGGCGGTCCTTGAAAGTGGCTTACGGATATCGAAACCGTCCAAGTTTGTGAAAATTATTGACATTCACAAAGTGTAAATATTATTGGGTTAACATCACTGAGCATCATCAAACATATAATTTTAGAGCATATTTTTTTAAAGTAAATAGAAAGGAATGAAAAGAACAGGAAGAAAGAAAAAATATTAATTTAAAAATATAATTAAATACTGATAAATCACTAAAATCCTATGAGAAAACAGCCGATAAACTGCGCCTAGCAAGGACTATCTCAGAAAGGAAGGAAGGGAGGAAGGAAGGAAGGAAGGAGGGAGGGAGGGAGGGAAGGAAGGAAGGAAGGAAAGATGGAAGGAAGGAAGGAAGGAAGTAAAAAGAATAAGAATGCCTATTATTTGCATGTTATCACATGCAGAAAGGAATTTCACGTGTTGCCCAGCACACTACCTTCGCTTAATGTCGTCAGTATATAGATATTAAATTTATTTTTCCTTTTTACGTTGATAGATTTCGAAACCCTCGTACAAACTTTGATTAACGACAAGAAAGGGCTGGAAGGCTGCAAGCTCACGCTGGAGCGTGTCCCTTATTGTACTTGTGTTCTTGTTACTGGCTTGTCGACAGTGACAACAGCAGACGCACTCAAGTTCTATTTTGAAAATCCAAGGAACGGTTGTGGTGAAGAACCATCCAAAATAGATCTAGAAAAAGACTTAGGAAGAGCATGGATACACTTCAAGAACTATTCAGGTAAAAAAATATGGACTATTTACCCTCCATGATGTTAAGCTAAAGGTTATACTGAGAAATTACAGAAAGTCCTGATAGATTGCCAACATTGAAAGGAATCCAGTCGAATCGAAATCAAATATCATTTTGTTTGCAAGACGTTTTTCTGGAATAATAATGCCATTGCAATAATGCATTTTAGTATAAATACACAGGTGATTATTTTAAAATCTCGCGCGCTGCTTGGTCGAGAAACTTAGATTATCACACGATAATCACCTCCAGCGATAATCCAAAATTGCTGCCAGCTGCTTTGTTGCTGTTACCTAATGTTAAGTGTGTCTTTTATCTTCTTTTTTTTTNTTATTATTATTATTATTATTATTATTATTATTATTATTATTATTAGAAAGAAGAAACCGCCAGAGATGTCTTTGATGGAACATCAATCAACGTCACCATGCAAGGACACCAACATCTAGGGGCTGTGCTTGGTTCAAGAACATATCTTGAAGAATACGTGAATGGAAAAGTGGAAGACTGGATAAGTCAAATAACAAGGTTAGCAGAGTTTGCTAAATCACAACCCCAAGCCTGCTACGTAGCGTTCACCTTTGGTCTAAGACATCGATGGACATACTACCTCAGAACACTACCAGATATTGAAGATCTACTAGAACCACTAGAGCGTGCTGTAGCGGATGTGTTAATACCATCAATTACAGAATACAATTGCACACCGATCGAGCGAAACATCCTGGCATTGCCAGTGCGGATGGGGGGACTTGGATTT